GGATTAAACAAAGAAATGTGCAATAACAAGCAACCAGGATCTCGTGTTATCTGGGGGGTGAGAGGGAGTTTGCATGGTATTCCACGTGGCATGTACACATGTATGATGTACACATTGTTAAAGCCTGTCTGTTGCCCTAATTTTGATCAAACCATTTGTCTCCCCCACCCCCACTTTCTTTTTTTAAAATAATGACGTCGCCGATTAAATGTGTAGGGCTGTGCCACATCCCACCTCCCTCCCTTGATTGGGAAAAGGTTGTTTACGATCGAATACGTTATAATTTGTGTTCTAAAGAATGCTCTAGGGTGATGCAGTTTCTAGCATTTCTTTTCTGGAGGGCTCCAACATTCTCCCTATAAATAAGCCGGCAGCGTTCCCAGCCGGAACACATATTTTTGCTAGATTTGCTATACATTTGAGTGACTTAATATACCTATGGCAGCCTCGCAAGATTGTACTCCTTATGTGTGTCTTTTCTAATATGGTATCCTTCTAGGATTATACTTTTCACGTGCTGTGTTTTTATTTCCGTCTATTTCCTTTGTGTATATGTATGTACTTTTTAATGTATAATTAAGTGGAATATTGCTAATGCAGCTAGATGTGGTATAACTTTTCTGTGCAGACTGGTTTTCAGTCCTTTATTACGCATTATCCATCTAATGAGCCAAATCTTAAAACAGAATAAATGTGTACAACTATGTAATGGTACGTCATAAAAAAATTAAGGTGTAGACATAGGCAGGGTAGCAACACAATTTTTTCAAATGAATTTCTCTTTATTTAAAACCATTATTAATTAGCCAATTTATTTATTTATTTATTGAGGCATTTTTATATAGCGATTACCTTAAAGTTCTAAGCGCTTTACAATTATTAAAAACATGTAAACTAACTAAAATAAAAATGAGACATTAGGATAGTAACTACTATACTATAGAAACAATTAAAATGGCTATAAAATAAGGACACTTTATTAATTTCTGTCATTACGTCACTGATTTATTAGTCAATGTCTCTTTATTGCATCCATGATTTATCAATCAACGTCTCTTTATTCAATGTTTTAATATTCAACGACTTTTTATTACACCAATGATTAATAAGTCAATGTCTCTTTACTACGTCCATGTCCAATACACCCGTGTCCATCTCTGTGTCTCCAGTGTCCGAGTTTGCGCAGCAGCTGGCCACGGCCTACGAGGTCTTCTCCAAGGAAGTGCAGGGCATCATAACGACTTTTAAGAGGAGAAACTTTGACCTGAAAAAACAGAGGTGAGATTTGAAGACATGTCACACCTACTCCCACATTTCACACCGACTGCTCACATTTCACAACTACCGCCGCATTTCAAATCAACTGCCACATTTCACACCTACTGCCACATTTCACACCGACTGCTCACATTTCACAACTACCGCCGCATTTCAAATCAACTGCCACATTTCACACCTACTGCCACATTTCACACCTACCCCATAGTATCGGTTTTGAAACCCAGAATTCAATTCAGTTGCGATGGTATCGGTTTTAATTTCCAGAAATCAATTCAGTTACGATGGTATCGGTCTTAATTTCCAGAATTCAATTCAGTTGCGATGGTATCGGTCTTAATTTCCAGAATTCAATTCAGTTGCGATGGTATCGGTCTTAATTTCCAATTTCAAGAATTCAATTCAGTTACGATGAAGTCGTTCTTAATGTCAAGAATTCAATTCAGTTGTGATGGTATCGGTTTTAATTTCTAAAATTCAAGGCCACCTGAAAATAAAGATAATAAAATCTCTATTTTTTTAAAAAGAATAACACGTCATATTTTCAATAAAATATTAAAATAGTTCCTGGCCCTTATCAGCGTCCGTAGTTTTTATTCCAACGTTATCAGGACGGCCGCCTAAGTGCGTCACTTCAAACTTGACAAATGTCAAACCACTGTCTGGTCCTGCAAACTTGACAAATGTCAAACCACTGTCTGGTCCTGCAAACTTGACAAATGTCAAACCACTGTCTGGTCCTGCAAACTTGACAAATGTCAAACCACTGTCTGGTCCTGCAAACTTGACAAATGTCAAACCACTGTCTGGTCCTGCAAACTTGACAAATGTCAAACCACTGTCTGGTCCTGCAAACTTGACAAATGTCAAACCACTGTCTGGTCCTGCAAACTTGACAAATGTCAAACCACTGTCTGGTCTTGCAAACTTGACAAATGTCAAACCACTGTCTGGTCCCGGCGTCATTAAACTCAGAATTTCTTTTCTTCGCGAAATACCAGTTTGAAAAAAACAATAATTTGAAATAACTTGATTTAAAACGGCCAATTTAAGTTTAATTGACTTAATTTAATACGATTGAAAGATTTAAAGGTCCGACGATTATTGCAGCTCTAAACACCGCCTTTCAGAACAGAACAGGACATTACATCGATGGTTTATTTTAAGATAAAATAAACAATCTTACTTTGGTTCATTTATTCTTTAATATTTATGATTGTCTACCTTGATATTACATGGTTATGGATCTTTGAAATAGAGGGATATCTCTAGGGATAGCAATCAAACCGAACCGGAATCGAAGGACCCGAACTCGAACCCTGCTCATGACGACCGGACGCAAAGCTTATCGCCACAGAGTACCAACAGACCCGAAAAAACCTATCGCAAACCTATTAGAAATGACAAATGTTTTAATTTGTGACACATCACAACGTACGTCAGAAATGTGGCACATCACTACGTACGTCAGATATGTGACACATCACGATGTACGTCAGAAATGTGACACATCACTAAGTATGTCAGAAAGGTGACGCATCCCTACGTACGTCAGAAATGTGACACATTACTACGTACGTCAGAAATGTGACACATCACTACGCGCGTCATAAATGTGACACATCATCACGTACGTCAGAAATGTGACACATCACGATATACGTCAGAAATGTGACACATCACTCTGTACGTCAGAAATGTGACACATCACTACGTACGTCAGAAATGTGACACGCCGCGTACGTCAGAAATATGGCACATCACAACGTACGTCAGAAATTTGACACAACACTAAGTACGTCAGAAATGTGGCACATTACCACGTACGCCAGAAATGTGATACATCACAAGTACGTCAGAAATGTAACATATCACTACGTACGTCAAAAATGTGGCACATCACCACATACGTCAGAAATGTAGCACATAACCACGTACGTCAGAAATGTGACACATTACCACGTACGCCAGAAATGTGATACATCACAAGTACGTCAGAAATGTAACATATCACTACGTACGTCAAAAATGTGGCACATCACCACATACGTCAGAAATGTAGCACATAACCACGTACGTCAGAAATGTGACACATTACCACGTACGCCAGAAATGTGATACATCACAAGTACGTCAGAAATGTAACATATCACTACGTACGTCAAAAATGTGGCACATCACCACATACGTCAGAAATGTAGCACATAACCACGTACGTCAGAAATGTGACACATTACCACGTACGCCAGAAATGTGATACATCACAAGTACGTCAGAAATGTAACATATCACTNAGTGCTCATTATAACCCCCTCCACCCCCCCCCCCCCACACACACACACAGCCACACCCTTTATCCCGCAGCCTTGATTGGGTATTAGTGTGTGACAAATCAAACAACAACACAATGTGACCGACTATTTGACCATCCACAGCCAGAAAATCGTTTAAAAAAAAGAAAAAAATTAGATACCGTCCGGCCCGTATAGTTATCAAACAAATTGTTTACAGGTGACAATGCCGTGATGATGCGAGATATGCGTGGGTGGAAAGGGGGCAAAACGCCGCAGTAGTAGGATGATCCTACATGCAGTGGTATAGAAATGGAGGTGGGGAAAGGGTGCTCCACCCCAGGCGCCTCTTTTTATCTCTTTCGTATAGGGTCGGCATTTTGGGCCAACTGCAGGGGGTTTTAACGTGGAAGGGGGCGGGATAGACTTGGTCCGCCCCCTTTGGTGCTAACCCTCGCTACGCCCCTGCATACAAGATAAACAATCAACAAACCCCGAAGCGATGCAGTAGGTCAAAAGTGATGAAAGACGTGATAGATTTTTTGGTGTTAGCTTGTGCCCAACTAGAGAGGGGAGTAGAACCGAACTGGAACCAGGTACATCGAACTCGGGCCCTGCTGACGACCGAACCTAACTCGACCTACTAAAAGAAGGCTCGATTTCCACATCTAATACCTTATGACATTTAAATGTACGAAATAATTTAAGGCGACCTTCCCTTGCAGCCTTGTGAAGTTGCTACGGTTTTGTGAGCCAGAGATGTATCAAGTCTGAGTTTTAGCCAGTTTAATACTCTTCTCGTTACCCCGTCCAGGATAATCAGGAGGCTGACTCCATAATAACACGATTAAAAGATCAGATATAGTGATGCAAGGCTTAAACTTGCCAGGTTTGGACTAGGGGCTTGAACCTGCAAGGTTTGGACAGTAAACTTGAACCTGCTAGGTTTAGACTGTAATTTTAAACCTGCAAGGTTTGGACAGTAAACTTGAACCTGCTAGGTTTAGACTGTAATTTTAAACCTGCAAGATTTGGACAGTAAACTTGAACCTGCAAGGTTTAGACTGTCATTTTAAACCTGCAAGATTTGGACAGTAAACTTGAACCTGCGAAGTTTGAAACCGCACATGTGAAAGCTAAATACAACTGAGATACCCGGGGGGAATGTGGAAGATAAACTAAAGCTGCAATCCTTTTTAAATCTGTTGCTAAGTACAATGTCATTATAAATGTTTTTTGTAATTATTTTATAACTGGTAAGACCCGAATCAATATTGCACTTAGGGGGAACTGGTTTCAGTATTAGAGGGGGAAAAAAGAGGGAAAGGGGGGGGGGCAATGTTGTTTTGTAGAGCCCATGTAGTCATTATAACGTAATGGCCGGTGTCCAGTTAGTTTTTTTCTCTCAATGTCAACACCATACTGACGCCAATGTTTACCTTGCATCTGCACAGACCAGTGGACACATCCAGTTGTATCTTCAGTGCGTGGGAGTCCCTGTTGATGGAGACGGAGCTCGACGCCCAGGTAAATACACGTTGTGCCAACTGGCAATGTTTCCTGCCTTTGAGATAGCCGAACCTGTATGCCATATGTGTTTAGGCCAACCTGCATATCATATGGGAAAGTTAAATCTGCATATCGTATGGGAAAGTCAAACCTGCATATGGGCTATTCCAGTGGTCGGCAAATCGTGGGTCGCGAGCCGCTTGCAGCTCTTTATGCCACTTAAGTTTGATTGGCCAGTCGGCCAAAAATCTGTTTTGACGCCCAAAAACATGGTTCTTGAAAAGAAATTTGGCTCCAATTTTTTTTTTTAAATCGTCCTGCTGCTGATTTTTGGCTCTTTTGACTAATGAATTTGCCGATCACTGGGCTGTTCAAACCTGCATATCATATGGGCTATTCAAACCTGTATATCATATGGGCTATTCAAACAAGATCATTATTCGAATAAATTATCTGTTTCCATGCGTTAGATTTGACAGAGATGATCTAGGATATTTCGTAGTTAGTTCTAGTCATTAATTTAGTCAGTGAAAACAATAGTAATCAAAAGTATCTTCTCTCAGGCTCACATGGACGCCGCTGGGCTGCTAGTGAAGAATGTGTATCGGCCCCTACAGGAAGTGGCGTCACACAAGAACAGACAAGCGGACATGCTGTCGTCCTTCAGGGAAAACTTCGAATCAGTTCTCAGCGAGGCCGTAAGGGAAGTAAGCCAGGTGCGTTGAAATCCGACCCAGATGAGTTTTTACATTAAACATTGTTTCAGTTGTATTTCCACTTTAAAAAAAAAGTTGTCAATTTCTTATTGCTGTTGTTTTAATTTAATTGTTAGATCTATTTAAGGAGATTGAAACACCTTTAACAGTATTCAGAGAGCCCAGGACAAACTCAACTAAATTTAAAATATAAACTACAATATAATCTTAAAATCAATTTTTTACTTTGAAAATTAATGTATTTCCTTTCTTAGAATAACATTAAACTCTCTTGTTTAATATGAAAGAGTCTTAGTTTTAAAGTGTAAAAAAAAGAAAAATATACAATAACAAAATCTTATTTTCTAAGCCATTTTCAAACAACTAACACTTGATTAATGTTCATAAAAGCACTTACAATGCTTGCAAAGCAAAGCAAAATAAAAAAAAACGCTTTATCGTGGGGCAGGGGGTCCCAAACTCAAATTTTCCGTAGGCCACAGGAGGTAGTCTGAGTGAGACTGGGCAGCATCATGTATCCCCCCCCCCCCCCCAAAAAAAAAAAAGTCAATAAAGATCAAAATTTCCTGAAAACAAATTAAAAATATTAAAGGTTCTCAAAAACTAGGCTTCACTTCCTTCCTCCCACTCCGTGTTGCCGGAGACTTCCTTCCTCCTACTCCTTGTTGCCGGAGACCTGGCAGTGCTTCTTCTTATACAACTGAGCAACTATTTGTCTTGAGTGATGAAGCAACTGAGACCCTCAGTATAGCTTGAAGGTGCTCAACAGTAAGTTTGGCCCTGAACTTTGATTTGATCCGCTTGAACAACTTGGAAATCTCAGGGACGTTCGAGGGAATTTCTCTCATACCCTGTCCAAGTTTGCCTGTTTTTCCATTGACTTAAACTCTCTGAACTCAGCCTTCAGTCCAGGCTTGCACTAAAGATCAATCAGCTCCATTTGAATGAATCCAAAAAAAAAAAGGGGGTTGACATGAGGCATCTTCCTCATTCAGGGATAAAGGTTCAGCAAAATTTAGAATAGTTTCTGTGTGTTTTTTAAGTCTGCAAACTTGTGTCCAAATTCAATCTTTGGCCGCCATGTTTGTCTCATGAAATGCTATAAAACAATAACTTTTTGTCCGATTTGTTTAAAACATCTTTCGCCATTACAATCAACGTCTCTACAAACATAGTAAAAATTACAGTTCGACCAGTCGGTGAGATTCGACTGAAACCGTCACATTTTTTATTTTTTTTTGCTGGCATCCGTCCGTCACAATGTGACGATGGAGTTGGGCTTCGTAGGACGAAATCCACATAGCCTGGGATTATTATACTTGAAGGATTATAAGCTGGTTCCCACAGCCACATAAATCGCCTCTCTCCACGCCGCTGGGTAACCCAAGGGAACATCATTGGATGATACAGGAGTTGTCGGAATGTTTCATTGTATCAATGTTATCCGCCTTTCGGGACTCCATCTCCGGGTTTGATTTCAGAGTTTCCTTCTCTTAGGTGAGTTGCCGTCCAAGGTTAACGAGTCCCATCTACCCGGGGTGCTGGTGGTGTTTTTGCTCTAGCTGGAATTGAACTCCAGACCACCAACTTGAGATTTGCTCAGTTTTAGACCACTCGGCCACCAACCGTCACATTAAAGATGTTTGAATGGGGGGACGCGCGGGCCGCATTAACATTGAACTTTGCTGTCAGGTGTCGAGCCGTAAAATCGATTTGTTATCCTTAAAGACCTCGAAACGAGCAATGCCCATAAAGTTCGTTATTCAATAAAACGGGGATAATGTGGCTTCTGGGAGAAGATCTCCTCAACGTTCTTTTTCTTTTATTTTTTTTAAAATTATCATTATTATTTGTGTTTTTTTTTAAACACATATATATCATTAATGGTTAAAATTGTTTTTGTTTTTTTAAATTATGGAGATTTAGGGATTTAGAAATCTCAAATATTGTCATTATCTTTTATAAATAATTTTGGAAATTCAAGTCCACCGGAAAACTACAAACACATGGGGGAAATAATTCAAAACAAGGTCTCATTCTGAGCTGTTAGTTTTATTGGTGTAGGGGAGTTTCACGGAGATGTACTGCAAGTGGGAGCATGTCGTCTCTATGCAATAAAACAGCCAATGACTCATCAACCCTCTTAGGTTATATTTTGTCTCCTGGTTTTGTGGTCGATTTTGCATCTCACCAATGAGAGCCAAAAGGTCAAATTTGACAGTTTGTCCGGATAAAGTTTTCGAACAAGGTCTCTGTGTCCACTAGTTTTGTTGTTTCTGTTTTCTTCTTTTAAAAAAATAATAAAATAAAGTCCACACACTCGATAGGTGGGTCGATGAGTGGGTCGATGGGTGGGTCGATGGGTGGGTCGATGGGTGGGTGATATTATCGCATGTCTGGTATTCGGAGTTGATGTTAAAACTTGGTTCATAGTGTCACTGTGGGCGCGTATTTCGAATATTTCTAAAAGATATCCTTTTCACTCCTTAGTCGATGACCCTTTAAAAGTATTTAGAAATGCTAAAATTGCGCATTTTTTTTGTGTAGGTCTATCCCAAGTATACTTTGTGGGGGGGGGGGAGGAAAATGGGAGTATCTATTATTTCTAATATTTTAATGCACCTTATATTTTTGTTCTTTTCCTTAGTTTGATTTCTTGTTCTTTGGTGTCAGATTTATTTCCCTTTTCGTTTGGTACTTATTTTTTTTGTGTAGGTCTATCCCAAGTATACTTTGTGGGGGGGGGGGAAGGAAAATGGGAGTATCTATTATTTCTAATATTTTAATGCACCTTATATTTTTGTTCTTTTCCTTAGTTTGATTTCTTGTTCTTTGGTGTCAGATTTATTTCCCTTTTCGTTTGGTACTATTTCGAAAGGATTTTCTGATCATGTGATTTGAGACATCCTTAGAAACAGCCTTGAGCGAAGCTATTTTGCAGATGATTAGAAAATACACTTTCTTTGATAGTTATTATAAAACAACAAGTAAATACAGCCTTTGAGATCATTTATTATAAGGCCTGAATGCGTCATCCTTGCAATTAAGTCGCAGAATTTTTAAATAATTTTTTTTTCGTTAATTAATGGAGCGAGAGTTCCATTTTTTCTGGTCAATAGAAAATAAGTTGTTCACACAATTAATTGTATTTTTTACTTAAAATAAGTTGTTCACACAATTAATTGTATTTTTTACTTAAAATAAGTTGATCACACAATTAATTGTATTTTTTACTTAAAATAAGTTGTTCACACAATTAATTGTATTTTTTACTTAAAATAAGTTGTTCACACAATTAATTGTATTTTTTACTTAAAATAAATTGTTCACACATTTTTGGTCATGTTTCACTTACAATAAACTCTTCACAAATTTTTTTTCGTCATAACATTTTTTTATGTAGCATTTTAAAAATCTATTCCGAAGCTAAAAAACATAAATATAAACTTTAGGCGCCACCCATCTCTTACATATTTGGCTTCTGGTGTATCCTGCTCCTTTTCACAACCAGCCCCCCCCCACCCCCCCGCGCCCAACTTACTCAACATGTTTTATATTAAGAGTACTGAGTGGGGTAGAGGGCTGTAGAGCAGCGCGCGTCATGCGTAACTGCTGAAATCAAGTTAAAAAAAAAGGTTAAATTATTTTGGATGATACTATTATATTAATCTATAATGAGCCACGAGTATGGCGTAGGACTGTCTGTAGGACTGTCTCTAGGACTGTCTGTAGGATTGTCTCTAGGACTGTCTGTAGGACTGTCTCGAGGACTGTCTATAGGACTGTCTATAGGACTGTCTCTAGGACTGTCTCTAGGACTGTCTGTAGGACTGTCTCTGCGACTGTCTGTAGGAGTATTGTTTAAAGACCGGCAGGAAGGGTTTAGGACCGCCTGTATGACCATTGTTTATAGAAAATGAGAAGTTCTTTTTTTTCTTTTTTTTTCTTTCTTTTTTTTTTTTTTTTTTTTNGACTGTCTCTAGGACTGTCTGTAGGACTGTCTCTGCGACTGTCTGTAGGAGTATTGTTTAAAGACCGGCAGGAAGGGTTTAGGACCGCCTGTATGACCATTGTTTATAGAAAATGAGAAGTTCTTTTTTTTCTTTTTTTTTCTTTCTTTTTTTTTTTTTTTTTTTTTGGCCCCCCTCCCCCCCTTTTCTTTTTTTTTTTTTTTTTTTTTTACCTTTTTAAAAAAAAAAAAAAAAAAAAACTGCCCCCAGATTAGCCCTGGTATACTTTACTACGCAAAAAGAGTCAAACTTTAGACCCGCCCCCCCCCTCCATTTTGCTTTATCTGTACTTTTTTTGACGACATTCCCTATCTGTACGTACATTTAGATCTCTTACCCCACAACTTTTGTATACAAAGTATATGAACGTAAAATTAATTATTAATACATTTATTTCTAAACTATTTCGAAGCTTATAAGAGGATTATAAGAGGACATATTGTATATCATGGATTCCACAGATTCTAGGCGACGGTTCATAAGACATATTAGAGACTGTCATATTTGCAGGATGATTATTGAAGAATTTATGCAAAAATGTACGTACTTTCTGCCAAGATAAACCCCTTACCCACTCCACCCCGCCATACGCGCCCGTAAGCAAAATCTCCAAATTCAACAACCCCCCTTTACCTCAGTGCATAATTAATAAATTGATTTTAAAGTTAGGTAACTGTTTCAATAATAAATGCGATGATTAATTCAAATGGTAGCTTCCCTTGGCTGCAGTCATCACCTATAGATTTAATTGGACATTCTGCTTGAGTGGTCCATATGCGCACCAACTTGTTTCCCTTGACTAGAAGTTGAAACAAGGTGATTACATGTAGTACATCTTGTCTTCACAGGCAGAGTCCATGTACCACAGCTCCTTCCAGGGATTCGCTAGTCTTCCAGAAGGTTCCAGTGTGGACAGCGAGCAGGTCAGGGGTCAACTGCACAACGCACACAACGACTACATCCTTAAGATACGGGCAGCCAACAGGACGGTGGACGAGTTTAACTCTTTCTTACCTCAGATTTTAGAGGTCGGGAGAGGTCATCACTCTCTTTCTCTGTCTTCTTTCTCTTTCTGATCTCTCTCTTCTCTCTCTCTCTCTTTTCATTCTCTCTTCTCTCCCTCTGTCTCTCCCTCTGTCTGTCTCTCCCTTCTCACGCTCTCTCTTCTCTCCCTCTCTCACTCTCTACTTTCTCTCTACTTTTTCCTTCCCTTTTCTCTCTCTCTTCTTACTCTCTCACTTCTCTCTCTACTCTCTTTCTTCTCACTCTCCATTCTCTCTCTACTCTCTCTTTCTTCTCTCTCTTCTTTCTCTCTTCTCTTTCGCTTTCTCTTCTCTCTCTTTTCTCTCTAAATTCTCTCTCTATTTTCTCTCTCTATGTCTGTCTCCCCTTTTCTCTGTCTGTCTCTTCTCTCTCTCCCAATCTCTCTCTGTCTCTTCTCCCTCTATCTTTTCTATCTCTCACCCTTCTCACTCCCTCGCTCCCTGCATGTCTGTCTCTCTCGCTTTCTCTCTCTCTCTCTTTCTTTCTCTCTCTCCGTCTGCTTGTGTCTGTTTATGTCGAGTAAGAGGTGTAATAGATCATTGTTGCAACAGTCCATGCTCGACTCATAGCTGACTTCATACAAATATTGAAGAATCGTTGTGATTGTCTAAACGCAATGTAACGTTGATATATATATATATATATATATATATATATATATATATATATATATATATATATATATATATATATAGAGAGAGAGAGAGAGAGAGAGAGATATAGATAGATTAGATAGATGATAGATGGCGAAGCTCTACTTACCATTTTAACTTTAAAGCCTGCAAGATAAATAGGAACAACTATGAGTGAGCAACATGTTAAAATTGCTCACCGTTTTGAGCCCTGTGTGTACACACGTACACTTTTCGTTAATACAAAAANTATATATATATATATATATATATATATATAGAGAGAGAGAGAGAGAGAGAGAGAGATAGATAGATTAGATAGATGATAGATGGCGAAGCTCTACTTACCATTTTAACTTTAAAGCCTGCAAGATAAATAGGAACAACTATGAGTGAGCAACATGTTAAAATTGCTCACCGTTTTGAGCCCTGTGTGTACACACGTACACTTTTCGTTAATACAAAAATAATTCCAATTTGTTGTTCATCCGGTATTTTTTTATATAGGTATATTCCGCATGTCCCAGTTCAAACACAACCAACTCTTTGTTACTTGTAAAGTAACCTACCAACACTCGACCAATCGCATGTTTCTGTATTAAATGAACTATCTAGCCAGCTTCACGCTGTATTAAATTATGTTCTCTGTTACTTATTTTTTTTTAAAATATTTGAAAATATTGCATGACCATTTCTGACATTCCAGGAACTGGAAGAGATCTATATCGACACTGGTAACACCATCAACGTGGCCATTGAAAGTCATGCTCTGCTACTGCTCACCAAGGTACGCACACACTTGGAGTTTGTGACTCAAATACATTCAAAGTTTGTTGTTGTTATAAATCCTTTATACTTTATATTAACCTCGCTTTTGTTCGTGGCTTGCAAAATCCTGGGACGGCTCATTGGCCCACTTCCTGTCAACCTATCGAGCTGAAACTTTGCACATAGTCTCGTTTGCCAATGACAGCACATTCTAACAAAATTTTTAGCCCCAACTCTCAAAAATCACCATTTCCTGTTTTTCAAAGAGAAGATGAAGGAAATATAATGACACTGATTTCATGAAATAAAATTTCCGACAACTGCGCTAAATAAGATTCTTTTAAAAAAAAAATAATAAAACCGCAATTATGAAGGATTGATTACAGAGATTGTGTTTGTACGGGCTGTTTAGTTTAAGTTTTTACAATGAACAAGAATGCTGGGCTAAAACCTGAAAGGTAATTGAAGTCGAAACAGTATGAAAATATGCTCTACTCTCCTTAAATGCCGTAAACTTGTTTATGCATTGGCGTAGTATTTCACTTAACAGTGTACACTTATAGGCTAAATACATTAGGGAGTGCATTATAAATGGATGTTAGAATTTATCATTGCATCCCATGAGTAGTGAGTTTATCTTGGCTGTTTGGGGGTGGGGGGATATAAATATAAATAATTTATTAGATTTATTTTTTTGCCGTGTTTTCCAGTTTTTTTTTTTTTTCCTTACCAAATATAATCTAAGGGGAGTAATAATTCATTACCAAGCTTTGCTAACAAATTATGATTCTGCCCCTTAAAATGTCCCAGTTTTATAATTTATTAGATTTATTTTTTTGCCGTGTTTTCCAGTTTTTTTTTTTTTTCCTTACCAAATATAATCTAAGGGGAGTAATAATTCATTACCAAGATGTGCTAACAAATTATGATTCTGCCCCTTAAAATGTCCCAGTTTGTGTCAATGCCTCGGGGAAAAAAAACAGGAAATGTGACTACTTTTTAGAAATACTTCTGTCTTTGTTTTCCATCAATGCCTTTGAACTGACCTAAGGCCGCAAACGTTACCACAGAGGTCGCCACATAGGTTAAATTTGAGGTGTTCTTAAATTAGGCCATCGTGAATTTCAACAACAAAAGCTATTCATTGCAGGCCCAACACCTTTGTAAGATAAAAATGAGTTTACAAAAGTGTCTTTTCACGACGATGTCTATTTTTAAACATGTCTCAGGACCGATTCCTGACGATAGATCGTGACGTGAGTATTAAATCTTCTAACCAGGCCGATGAACAACACAAGCGGTACGAGGACCAGCTGAAGACGTGTAAACTGGTCAGTCCTCACCAGGACATCAGCTTCTTCGTCAGGGCCACGGTTGGCGATAACGTGACCTTGAACGCACCAATACCTCATCAGGTGTTCAAGCCAGCCGTGGCGCTAACAGCAGACGTCCAGGTACGTTCTATACTCAATACCCTTAACAACATCCAGGTTTGTTCTATACTCAATACCTTTAAAAACGTCCAATTATGTTCTACACTTAATACCTTTAACAACGGCCAGGTATGTTCTGCACTTAATACCTTTAACAACGTCAAGGTATGTTTTACACTTAATACCTTCAACAACGTCGAGGTATGTTCTATATTTAATTCCTTTAACAACATCCAGTTATGTTCTATACTCAATACCTCAAATACTTTTTTATTTAATGATCACTTTTGTTGTACATATATTGAAGATGAACTATTTCTTACGTCATAGGTCGATCTAGAAATGCTCGAACATCCATCCTTTGGTTCTCAATTTAACTATACGATATTTGAAACAAGTGTTTTAAAAAATCATCTTAAAATAATGGAAGAAACCCCATAGTCTTAAACCCGCTATATCCGTTTAATTCAGCGGTTGTAAATTTGTGGGATGCGACCCCCTTAGGAGTCGAACGACCCTTACACCGGGGTCGCCTAAGACTATCGAAAAACACGTAAATATAAAGTAGCAACGAAAATAGTTGTATGTGTGTGTGTGTGGAAGTTCACCACAACATGAGGAACTGTATTAAAGGGTCGCGGCATTAGGAAGGTTGAGAGCATGTGCGCCCGCAGATAGGGGCAAGGTGGGGCACTTGCCACCCCCCCCTGGATTTATTGGATAAAAAAAATTAGACAAAAATAGACAAAAAATCTATTAAAGTAAAAAGAAAATAAAGAGAAAGTAACTAAGCTGATGTCCTGTCCGTTCGTTCACCATACAAATACGCTACAGTAAATTAAAACTATATTAAAACATTACTAAAAAATTTTTGCCCCCTCCCCCGGAAAGTTAATCGATTTTTTTTGCCCCCTCCCCCCTAGAAAGTTTTGTGCGGGTGCCCATGGTTGAGAGCCACTGATTTAAGTTTTGTCACTAATTGTATTGCCAGCAAACCCTCTGTAACCAGCTGATCTACGACCGGCTGACTGAGGAGAACGTTGTCAGAAAACGAACTCAGCTCCAGTCACAAGGGATGGGGATCGCCATCAGCATGAAACAGAACCAGGACATCATAGCGACCCTCAGCAACGTCTGCCAAAGGTAGGTGCTAATAACATGTGAGTGGTGCTTTCTGCCAAAGGTAGGTTCTTATACACGGGTGGTCATGTCTACCAGAATCGGGTGCTAATGGACGTCAGGTAATTTCTGCTAAGGCTAGGGGCTAATACATGGGTGTTAATTTCTGCTTATGTTTGTTAAAGTTAGGTGCAAATTACATGGGGAGTAATGTGTACCAGATTCGGGTGCTAATACATGGGTGGTAATCTCTGCTTAAGTTTACCAAAGTTAGGTGCTAATACACGGGTGGTAATGTCTACCAGCATCCTGGATGATAATGTCTGCCAAAGTTAGGAGCCAATACAAAGGTCGCAATGTCTGCTAAGGCTAGGAGCCAATACAAAGGTCGCAATGTCTGCTAAAGCTAGGAGCCAATACAAAGGTCGCAATGTCTGCCAAATTTAGGAGCCAATACTAAGGTCGCAATGTCTGCCAAATTTAGGAGCCAATAAAAAGGTGGCAAGTCTGCTAATGCTAGGAGCCAATACAAAGGTCGCAATGTCTGCTAAAGCTAGGAGCCAATACAAAGGTGGCAATGTCTGCTAAAGCTAGGAGCCAATACAAAGGTCGCAATGTCTGCTAAAGCTAGGAGCCAATACAAAGGTCGCAATGTCTGCTAAAGCTAGGAGCCAATACAAAGGTGGCAATGTCTGCTAAAGCTAGGAGCCAATACAAAGGTGGCAATGTCTGCTAAAGCTAGGAGCCAATACAAAGGTGGCAATGTCTGCTAAAGCTAGGAGCCAATACAAAGGTGGCAATGTCTTCTAAAGCTAGGAGCCAATACAAAGGTGGCAATGTCTGCTAAAGCTAGGTGGGTAAAAATAAGAAAAACGTTTCCTATAGAATTATGAAGTAAGCCCCCCCCCCTTATAAACAACATTTAATATAGAGACCCGGACCAACGATAAGAATGATGCTATGATAATTAGTCTTGAGTTGATTCGTCTCTATCGTGATATGGTAATGGTGAGAGAACATTGTTGTCTGCTGTTATCATGTCTCCTTTGTCTTACTGCAAACGTTGTGTATCAGCGATTTAACACAATTGAGCATCCATTAACAAACATGTCTATATTCACTTTGTGATGTCGCTTGCCCATGGTGTCAGCCATTGTTAAAATGAACTGTCCATTCAATGAAGTGAAGTAGATCCCATCGTGTAGGTGCTTACGTCAAAGGTCAACTCACTCCATCAAGTATCGTTTCCCTGTTGTCTATTTACATCTGCAGTTTGGCAAAGGATAGTGACATGGCAAATGTGTCGTAGTTGTCAGGGGGTGGGGGGGGGGGGGAGTTAAAAATGTTTCTGCTCCGTTAAAAAAATTAAAAAATGTTTCTGGAAAATATTGAAAATATCGATATCTTGTTTGATAAAATTGATTCACCATTTCTCCTTTTTTATATCGTCAGCGATTGTTTGTCGTGTTTGATATTGTGATGTGTTTTGTGACGTAGAACGGACCCGAACAGCGTACCGGCGAATTTATTTCGACGGATCTTCCAAGTAGCTTGGGACAATTGTATGTTTGGTCCACGTGTACTTGAACCACCCCGTCTAGGCGTGATGTCATTATATATTACAATGAACAGATTAACAAGATGTTAGTAACGGCACTTGTTATTTCTTATTTCAAAAAAGTGGCACTGTATATTGTTATTCTAAACTCTGCTAATGAAGTTGTGCGCTGAGAGCGAAAATAAGACACCTTTTTTTATACAGTATTTTTTTTATCTTTTACATTGCGTTTTCTTATTAAAGATGCAATAACACCTCAACGTTGTTCTTTTTACGTTGCTGCTGTAAACTCTTTGATTTCCGTAGGCATTAAGTTTACTCTAAGTTAAGACACGTTTTATACACAGAGATGAAGCAATTAATTCTCGAAAGATTCCGAAATCTGGCGTTGAGAGTTAACTCGGACATTTGTGCTCCTTACGTCTTGTCTGTGTAAGTTTTTTTTCTGTCATGCATTGTAAGACATTCGTCTAATGTCCTGCCTGTGTAAGACACGTCTCTCATATTTTTTTAAAGACATTCGTCTATGCATTGTCTGCCTAAGATTTTTCTATCATGCCCTGTAAGACATTCGACGGAGGCCTTGTCTCTGTAAGACATTTTTAGCAAGCAGCGTAAGACATTCCTCTGAAGTCTTGTCCGTGTAAGAATTTTCTGTCATATTGTGTAAGACACTATTCCTAGGTCTTCTCTGTGTAATAGTTTTCTGTCACGTCTTGTAAGACATTCCTCAAATGTATTGTCTGTCACAGACATGGTTGGAATGTTAAATGTTGACAGAAAGCGTCGTCGCCGGTATCGAGTCTATGTGCCAAATGTCTGCTCGATAGGTTGACGGGAAGAGGATCAATTTGCCTTCCCAATATTTTGTCAGCCCTTCACGAACAAAAGCGAAGTTAATATAAAGAATTTCAAGTAGACCACCCCTAAAAGCCTAGTTATCCATATAAATCCATTTCACCAACTTTCTTGCGATATTAAAAAAAAAAATAGATCCTTTAACGCAGTTTTCGGGAATTTAATTTGATTTTATTTCCCCTTTAAAAAAAAGACAAAACTGACTTTGAGGAGATGTTATACAGGCGTCCCATCTTACTTTCATTCATCTTTTCAAGTGAATGAACTTAGCTGACCACAATTCGGCTGCACTGCGTCATTAGTAGGGCGTGGCTTACTAAATATAGTCTCCATTTGACCTCGATTACCGCTAATCAACCCATAGTCTGTATCATGATTGGAATTCTGTAGAATATTGTAGAAGTTTTGAGAGACGATTACAAATCGTAGTCTGGCTTCTAGAAGCATCTAAGAAACGGTCTATATAAAACCGAGCGATTGAACGACAGGGACCAGATAACAGAGGCGAGTTATTTTGAATGTGTGCTATTTTTGCTCGAGAGCTCTGTTTACTCTGTGTGTGTGTGTGTGTAGATTCCTTTTCATCATTTTACCCTTTTTGCACATTGCGTTTTCTTCAACATTGTATTTTCTTCAACAAGTCAAACATCATCTGTAAGTTAATATTTTAATTATAAGTCTTTTTGATTTTGTAATTTATTATTATTAACTTAAAAAAACGTATTAATTATGATTAGTCCTGGTTCGAGTATCGTATTCTTCGTTATTGTATTTAGATTATGGTATCGTCTTTTGTGCTGTACTGTTTTAGAACGAGCCATATAATTAAATGAAAGATTAATTTCTCCATACCGATAACAGTGCGTAACAGGAGAGTTGGGGAGTGGGGCTGAAAGTTTTGATTGAACGAGTTCCATCGACATCATGTCTGTATGCCAAGTTGCAACTTCATAGCTTGACGGGAAGTGGGTCAATTAGCCGTCCGATGTTTTTTGCCACCCAGCTAGTCAATCAGTCAGCCATCCAGCCACGAACAAATGCGAAGTTAGTATAAAAGATTTAAAAACACTACAGGCGTGTTGTGTTGCCATGGGAACGTATTAATTAGGGGGTGGGGGAATGATGTTGATACACAGACAGCTAAACAATGATTTCATCGTTATAAATTGTAGAATGCACTGTGAAAATGTGCAGAGATGTACCTCTCAGTATCTACACCCTGGACTCAGTCAATGTGTTCGCCACTAATTGACTGTATGTCAATATCTACGCCCTAGACTCAATCAATGTGTACACCACTGACTGACTGTGTATCAGTATATCAGTATCTACGCCCTTGATTCGGGCAATGTATGCACAACTAACTGACTGTATATCAGTATCTACGCCCTTGATTAAATCAATGTGTACACCACTGACTGACTGTATATCAGTGTCAACGCCCTTAATTCGTGCAATGTATGCACAACTAACTGACTGTATATCAGATTCTACGCCCTAGACTCAATCAATGTGTACACCACTAACTGGCTGAATGTCAGTATCTTCGCCCTAGACTCAATCAATGTGTACACCACTGACTGACTAACCTATAACACTTTGGCTAAAATAAGAAGAAACATTAGATTGTTGGTTCACCCCCACTTTCTGATGTGATGATAAACAAAGATTTTTGGATCTGTTTGCGCAAGCGACGGCTTTATTCTGAAGGTGGTTAATTGAAAGCAGGTGAGCCAGGCAATCGGATGGGGGTGGGCGAGGTATGAGTAGAACAACGTGATCAGTGGTACTTCTTGTGTGTCTGTGATGTGTCTGCGCTGCGTCTGTGATGTACCTGTACATATTAATTGTTGAGCGTATGCTAATCATATGTCTGTGATTATCCCAAGACTCGTCTGTGACGTGTCTGAGACGTGTCTGTGATGTGTCTGTAAATAGCCTTTCAAATTATTTTTTAAAGTATTTTGAATCAACATTTTTTTTTAAAAATCATAAATGTTGATTGTTGTTTAGATCACAACGCGGCAGAATTTTAAAGGGGAAAAAAAAATGTTCAACCCTGCCTTCCAAACAAACGTTGACCAATCTAAGGAAAGTTCATCAACCCCCAATGTACAATTCACCCACTCTTAAGACATTTCATTAACCCCGAGTGCACTCCATCAACTCTTAGAACTTTTCATCAACCCCCAAATACACTTCATCAACTCGTATGACATTTTATCCCCCCCCCCAACCCAAGTACATATGACCAAAGCAATTTTCGAATTTCGATTCGAGTAGCGGCCTTGAATTGAGTCGTAGCCTTGACTTGAGTCGTAGCCTTGACTTGAGTAGTAGCCTTGACTTGAGTAGTAGCCTTGACTTGAGTAGTAGCCTTGACTTGAATAGTAATATTGACTTGAGTGGTAGCCTTGGCTTGAGCTGTATTTTGTTTAAAGTGAGGGAATTTGCTCAATTCCCCAGCTTCATTCTCTCGTCCTTGCCTATATTTCCAACCACAAGTCTTGCTCGAGGCGACTGGAAATAAACCAGGGTGAAGTAGATGACCAGCCGTGTGTGTGTACAGTAAAATAAACTTCAGAACACTACAGTGCTCTACAGAACTATAG